ATTCTCGTGTTGTCGGTTCATTTCTTTACTAGTTTCGTACTTTTCTTATCAGCCTTCATCTAATCGTTTCTCTTAGGTATTCTCGTGGCCTCAGTTCATTTCTTTGCTAGTGGCGTACTTCTCTGGTGATTCTGCTCAAGTTCTGTTCATGATGTGCCTAAAACATCGCATGACTGTTGATTCCATCAATTGTTGAGACAATTCTGTGGCATCTTCGCGTCTCTTGAATTCATAACATTTAATGTTCATAGATTTTTTTTCAGGCGCCTGGTTTCTACTGTGTATATAATTTAACGGATTGTACATTCTGTCAGGCTTGCTACATCTCCCAACTGAGATTTGGAGGCGTTAATATATGGGCGCTGGATTTGGATGACTTCATGGGGCTTTCCTGCGAACAGGGCAAGTTTCCGCTAGTTGCCACCGTTTACAACATCGTGCAGTACATTGATACCACTAAATGCAGCAAGTAAGTTACACTCTTTCAGTCTGTTTGTTGGACATTATTGCAATGTATTGTTCAGAGCGTTAATATAGATTGCACTGTGGTGGCTAGCATTCTTAATTGCCAGTGCGGTTGTAATCTGTTTGAATTCCTGTTGAGGCAGGAATCGGTACAGTTACCAAGAGCTCCGAAATCGACCATGAAGAAGAAAAAGAGAACAGTCAGGCATTCGGTTCAACTACTTTTAGACACAGCAGCTGTCTCATGGTCACTTGCATGGCTGGCGGAACAGAAAGCATCTCGCCCATGGAAAATGACAGGCTAAATGGGCATGCTTAAGAATATCTAAACTGACTATAATCAGTCGACAGCTCTCAAAGTGCTTCTTTAAGAAACCGTACACGCCAAAACACGCTGAGATGAAATGAGCCAACAGACTGGCAGTGTTTGCGATACGTAGTGAAGGGAGAAGTATGTGGATTAAACGAAGACATACATGCAGAAAAGTGTTGCGGGGCACACACACACAAAAGAAGATATGCCAGTCAACTATCGCTGGGTAGTTTAAGAATGGAGACATTGAGATGACGATCCGAATAGGTCTGGCGGGTGTTCTCTAGGGTGTCTATACGGAAAACAGTAAATACCAAACATGACGAAGGAGAAAAAGAAGGGGAGAAAAAGAAGAAGAAGAAGATGCTGTTTCTGCTGCTTATGATAATGATGGCTAGGATAACCACGATGATGATGAGCCATTTTTCTCAGACAGTAATGATCTGTTTGTGCCTCGGCACTGTTAGCTCCCAAAGGGCCCTTACAACATATGTGGTCACAATCTTGTCAGCCGCATCTTCGGATCCGCCGGCAAAAGACTAGCCGCTACACCATAGCTTTTCTTTTGTCCCTGAGTGTAATGATATTAAAATCGGCAGGAATTTCAACATGAAGCTTCGAGACATGAGGGGTTAAATAAACCCCGGAGACAGAACAGGTTTACGTAAACGAAGAAAGGGACAGAACGAGCAGACAACGATCAGTTGTTATGTAGGTGAATGTACTACTCTTTTCGTCTCACCGTTTGTAATATTTTGTGGTAATATCTCCACAGTTTTCTGATCATGCGGGCGACAGGTGGAGCGGGAGAGAGAGGCCAACCTTGTAAGTCTGTCTGTTAAACAATGTTTCCACTCACATTTTATTGATGGTTGATTGTTAATTTTGTTTCGCGTTTGTCATTTTAAAAAGCGGCTGGCACGCTGTGCTAGTGACGTACATCTAGGCTGCGATATCCTCATATTTCGGTCAGACCCATCCTTTTTTAGCATACCCTGAATTATACGTCTAAACTGTTGGTTTCCCCCCCCCCCCCCCCCCCCCCAGTCAAGGGCTCCGGAGCTTATAAGTTAACAAAGAGAAGAAACTTAAAACTAGCTATGGCGTACAAACAAATTCTCCTCTTCTTCTCCCCTTTTCCTCCTAATTCTTGACTGCCTCCTCCTCCTTCTTCTTTTGACATGATGGGACCAGAACGCTCATTGGAAGTAAAATAAATGTTGCGCACATATACAGCTGATTATTTTGGTTTTGGTATCGTATACACAGACAGACCGATAGACATCCAGGCAGACATGGGTAGGCGGGTGGACGGACGAAGCGATGGAAAGACAAGCAGGAAGGGAGACAGACGGACAGACGTGAGCAGCTGGGCAGGTGGGTGGACAGCCGAAGCGATGGACAGACAGGCAGGCAGACAGACAGACGGACAGACGTGGGCATCTGGACAGGCGGGTGGAAGGCCGAAGCGATGGACAGACAGGCAGGCAGACAGACTGACAGACAGACGGACAGACGTGGTCAGCTGGGCTGGCGGGTGGACCGACGAAGCGATAGACAAACAGGCAGGCAGACAAGACGAGCGATTTACTGTGTATTCACGTACATCTACATTTGTTGATATTTCACTGAGGAATGTGTTTTGGTCTTACAGGTCAACATTTCAAGTATATGAACATGATGCTGGTGTTGGTCCTCGTCGCTTATTCAGCATTCCATTAAACAATGAGAACAGTCACTTCAACTGTAAGCGATGATCGTCAATGGCAATGTAGTTCCCTTTACATATGTCTTTGGTGACATATCGGCCGATTGAATGTTATCGTCTTCTGGTGTCAGTTCACTTACAGAGTGCCTCTTCTGTAGGGCAAGGTGGAGGAATTTCGTCGTCATCACCGTTGTCGCCATCAGCAGCAGCATCACAGCATCATCATGTTTTTGGCCCTTAAATTTGAGTAGGGATCGCAGCCTATTCTGCCATTGCGTTCTACCCTGTGCAATTGTTTCAATATCATGGATGGAATCCGGTCCAGCACCATTGACCTCTCTCGTCAAAGTTCATCTTAGGGATTCTCTCGGACATTTTCGCTTTCTCAGTCTGTTCGTTTTGGGAGGAATCTCGGTCTGATGTTGATCCTTCTGCCTTGTATGTGTTTGTGCTATACTGTGCTTCTAATGTCATAGGTCCACCTTTACACTGGTCCAACCCAGGCTCTTCTTCTTCAGGTTAAGCTTGCCTTTGCGATTCTAATTTCATCCTGCTCCTCTTGTTATTATTTTTTGATACAAAGAAGTGAATGTTAATCCTTCTGTCTTGTATGTGTTTGTGCTAAACTGTGCTTCTAATGTCATAGGTCCACCTTTACACTGGTCAACCCTATGTTCTTCTTCTACAGGTCATGCTTGCCTTTGCGATTCTAATTTCATCGTGCTCCTCTTGTTATTATATTTTCATACAAAGAAGTAAAGTAAAATCAGAGTGAGAGTGTCCCTTTGAATCTCTTGTGTATAGGTATTCCCACAGACTTACTCATTACCTCTATTCATTATCTACATAGCCGTTGTCTCTTTTGATTTCTTCAATTGCTGCCTTTTTGGCAGAATATTTTTTGGTAACTGCGTTATATTATTGAACCATATTCCCATTTAATTTGTCAGTATGATTTAGTTCTACCACTAGCTCCCATTTTCTTTCGAATGTCAGTTTTTTTTAATCATTCTTGTCCTTGGTACGTTCAGTGATTTTCTTAAGAATCATATTTCAGTTGCATTATTTTTTTAAGTTCTTGTCATTGTCCAACATTGTCTTTGATTCAGCAGTCTAAGATGGTTGAACTGATGTTGCTTGTGGCTTTATTAATGTCTGCAGGTACATGTTTGTTTTGTTTGTCAATATGTTTCTTGTAAAAGTCCTTGGAAATCACCATGGATTTAATATGCCAGAAACGTTTCCGTTTCAGAGACAACTTATTGCCTAGGAATATTCTCTTTCTTTGATGTTAGGATTTTATAAAACAGCTGTGCTAATGTTGGCTGACTTTAGGTATACTGGGCAGTGAGGCCCCAGTCGCTTCCACGCTACGACGCTTGTACCAGTGCCCGAATGTCACCGAAATCTTTTTTTTTTTTTTCAAAACCGTCCATACCCCGAATAGAATCCGGATACGTTTCACGAAATCGGAAAACGCAGTCACTAACCTCTACATTACAGAGCATATAAAATGTCGCATTGTTCCACTTCATCCATGGTATTGTAAAAATTGGAGTCCACACGAATAGTCAAAATTGTTATGCAGCGGACTTCAGAGCTTCCGATTAAACTTATACGAAAACATACATATACATTTAAAATAATACAGACACAAACAATACATTGAACATGTTTGACATAACATATTTTACTGCGTCTTGTAAGGCAAATTACTAAAAAGCCTGCGTAAACATGTAAATGATGTACGACTATTGAATCCGTTTCACCGAAACATACAAACCGCAGTGTTTCCTCTCATTGCGTTGTACTTCTTACTTACCGAAAGTTAAAGATAGCCACCTAATTCCTATGGCAAGTTATAATGTGCCATAATTATACTTTTTTTTTTTCCTCCCCACATTGAGGGATTGGTAATTTTATATACATATGAAAGTTAGATTGTAGAAATCATTGAATGTCCACACATAGTGTGTTGCTTCGGACGGGAAAAAAAAAGTTAATGAATCAAACGATTTTTTAATACAATTTAACCATGTCTGGTTAAATTAGCTTTTCTTATCATACGCAAATGAAAATTAAACATTGATTATTATTGATTGTTCGAAACAATTATTATTATTAACACCTCATCTAAAGCATGAGGCAAAACCAATGTTAGTGGTTTCATCCATACATTTTCAGGATGGATAGTAAGACCGTGGGTGATGTACTAAGTATCTTGCCCGCTGTCTTTAATGCGAAAGACCATTATGTGCTTGATTATAAAAATTGATTTAACTATTTATTTATATGTAATATACTCTCTAAATATTTAGCAGATAATGTGTCAGCAAAGCAATAAAATAAATCAATGTAAACACAATCGTCCAGTTTAATTTGCTTTTAATTATTTTGAGAATGTTCTGCTTTCGATTGCAAGTTGAAATGAGTGGTAATGTCAGTTGAATCGAGGATAAACGAGCATCTGATAAAAAAGAAAAGACAAGTGAGTACACGAATCCTTGATTGCCACTGGGGCAGCTAAATCCATTTGATAGACTACTTAGCGCTATGAAGGAGGTGTGATCGTCATGACAATGTATCCTCAGTGAATAAATAGTTCTGAAAGAAGACAGGACATCGTTGTCGAGGTTGAATACTAGAACAGACACTATATTTTTAAATATGTATAACATCCAGTGTGTGCACACTAGACATAGACGATGTGGTCATCGTCATGCCCAATGTGCCCTTGGTAAACAGACCGTTCCGAAAGAAGTCAGGATATCATTTTCAAGGTTGAATCCTGGATAGTCACTATATTTTTCAATGTGTATGCCATCTAGTGTGTCCACACTAGATAACGAGGGAGCTGGGGTCATCGTCATGCCCAAGGTACCCTTGGCAAACAGATCGTTCCGAAAAAAATACAGGACATCGTAGTCAAGGTTGAATCATGGATAGTCACTATATTTTCAAATGTGTATACTATCTATTAAATTTCCAAGAGCATGTATCTTTCCCATTGCAACATACGCCTGTGAGACCTGGATACTTAATAAACATGCTGAACAGCACAGTCACGCCTTTTAATACACCTGTTATAGATGAGTTCCAAGAATATCGTAGGTAAAGAAAAAGACAAATGCCTCCGTACTTCAAACCTGAATATTAAAAAAGTTTGGCTATTAAAGACGATAGATAAAACACAGGAAATTGTATTATTTTAATCACTTGAAGCGTCGCGAAAGTTTGGAGAGAAGCATAATGGAGGGGTATTTGCCTGGGAAAGGTGGAATAGGGTGGCCAAAGAGAAGATGGGTGCCGGGTGAGGCCGATGATGTCCAGATGGGTGTATCGGACACGGGACATCTTCCTTGTGATCGATACGTTTTCCGGAGCGTTGTTATGGGAGCATGGTTCTGCAAGGGACATGCTACTGACTGACTGACTGTGTGCCATCTAGTGTGTCCACACTAGACATAGAGGAAGATGCGGTCATCGTCATGCCCAGTGCACCCTTGGTAAAACTATTTCCAAAAGAAGGCAGGACATTGTTGTCAACGTTTAAACCTGGAGTAGTCACCATATTTTGAGTTGAGCTGAGTCGAGAATCGACATCACGGCACTCTGGGCATTCCCATACATGCTATATCCTCATCTTCAGCAGCCAGTGCAGAGTTCTATGTACGTCGCTCCCATAAGCTTGAGTGCGTTTAGACCTTTTTGAGCCCTTGTCACAACCCCCTCTATGTGATCCCTGACATACAAACTTCGTCAAAGGTGATTCCCAGGTACGCAGTCCGCTGTCTCTTTTGATGTCCCTGCCATTTATTTTGAGGCTTTGAACATTCAGCTCTAACAATCCTGTTGTCCAAAGAACACCACTGGACGGTTGCCTTTTCGGATTGATTACAGCACTCATCTCTTTACACCAGTCAATCACCTTATCTACCTTTGCCTGTAACTCGGCAGCTTTTTGATTCCGATCTCTCCCTTTCCTAAATACAAGAACATCATCTGCAAATATCAATATTCTGCCTACTCAAGGTGTTTCCAGACATTCAATCTTGCTTGTAAAATCATTTAATAGTACAGGTGAAACTGCAGATCCCTGTTGTAGTCCTGAAGCTATAATACATGGTTCAGAGGTCCATGAACCAAGGCGGAGAGCTACCCGGCGAGTATACAAAACAGCTGGTATCCAATTCACCAACCAAGGACAAACTCTTTTCTCCATAAGCACTTTCATCAAGATACTGCATCTTCTGAATTGTAAGAAAAAAAAGGTTATATCCCTTTTGCAGGTCTTTATGCGTATATGGTGTATAGGGCTAGACCTACATTTATATAGACCAATCTGCACAAGAGATGGGTAATGTGGTCAGCATCACGTCAGTCGCCTTTACTTCCCGGGACTGCAGCCGGTACCAACTCAAGGCTGGGTCGACCTGGGAGCCAAGGTCATTTTTTAAAATAGTCCGGCTTCACCAGGAAACGAACCCACGACCTTCCGATCCGCGGCGAGCGTCTAGCCGCTCGGCCAAGACGACTTCCCTTCTAAACTGTAAGCGTCTTCTAAATCGAGTGCTGCTGGCATAGTTTCCTGTCTGTTCTGGAAGCATATAAAGGTATCAAAAGGCAAACGTGGCTGCATATGACCATGTGTCCTTCCCCTGCCGATAACTTCGCAATTCTCTTGGAAGAAGATTACTCTGTTTTAACAATTCGTGAAGCTTACCCGCCACTATCTTCTCCAGCACTTTACCAAAGGTGTTTTGTAGGGTTATGATCCTAAAGCCCCCAAGTGTTGAATGATTTTTGCCAGGCTTAGGAAGTGTAATCAGGTAGCTGTGCATCCACTCTTCTGGAACTGAAGTTGTCCTAATGCTCTGGTTGAAGCAAGTAGTCATCCCCAACAGGTCTGCATCACTCATGTCTTTTATATGGGAATATCTAACTCCGTCGGGCCAGGGTGCATATTTTTTCGTCCTTTTCAGAACACGTTTTACACTTTCCACATGTAGGATGT